TAATAGCCAATGCGAAAATATAGTTTAAATTTGGTACCACTGCTGCTTCTTCAATTAGGTTTATTTTGACAAACCTTAATGACACTATATAAGCATGTATTTCAAACCAAGAGAAAGTAAAGATGAAATTGATATATAGATGGCGCTGCGAACAGCCTAGAAGAAATGGGAATGTGTATTTTATCCGACTGGCTAAATGTCATATTGTCTGAAGGAAAATAAAGTAAAAACCTACAGCTCGCAAGGAGTTAAACGATTTGAACATTGATGCGATTTCTAAAAAAAATTCTTTTAGTTGTAAGATTGGACAAAAAAAAACCATAGTATGTTTTGAGTTATAGTATTATTAAATGTTATTTCAAACTTTATAAATAAAGTTTATTTATAAGTTTATTAAAATAATGGCTTATAGGATCTGTCTTAGTACATTTGGATAGGATATCCAATGTGGATAGATATTAAGATTATTAACAAGCCTTATAATATTATACGATGGTGTTTTTTAAACTACCATCCGACACAGATATCAATGAACTACTACTGCTAAAGAATGATGGAAAAATTATCCATTAAAACGATTAAGTTAAAGATACATTATGGTGTCTTTGAATAAATAGTCCCAACAACAGATTCGGTTGGGATCAGTTGAGGTCAGCTTACAGTTGATGAAACTGTAAGTAAAATTCTCACTGATCTTTTTTTATTTGTAGATCAATTGTGCTATCTTTGGAGAAGTAGTTCCAATTTGAACAAGGATCAACGTTAGGTATTAATAAATCTTATAGAGCTCTTTGAGTATGGTTTTATATAGTCTCACTCTTCTAAGATATTCTTCAGAAAAAATTTCAATGGCATGGACTTTTGTATAAAATATAGTTTACTATTGTGTTTTATTCATTTATTTCTTTTAGATAGTGTCTTATAAAAAAAGAAATTATTTAATATTAAATACTACATATGAAATTTTTCTCTAATTTAAGTTGATTAACTAACATTGTTTTAGTCATAATACAAAACTGCTGGTAATAAAAAATATATATAAATTTTATAAAATATGTGTCATGTGATTTGCAATTATTACTGCATGAGTTGAATAAAAAAATATTACATTGCTTTCATTAGGTAAAATACAAATTACTACAAATGTGAATGTAATTTTAATGCAAAAGTTTCCTTTTATAAATGCAAATTTAAAAATTCGTAAGCAGAATTTTCATTCAAATGTGTTCGTTACTCTAAATAACTAAGTACTTGTGCATTAAAATAATTTAATTGTTTTTTAATAATAATTTGCTTATACTTAGATATTCGCTAACATTAATACCAGATGGCAGAGCGCCATCTATTTGCCCACTATTTTCTTTAGGGCTATTGTGAGTGCAACGTTACATCGGAGAGTTTTGAAACAGAAATCATTTGAATATATAATCTTTCATAGAAACGTAGCTATAATTTTATTTTCAATTTCCTTTGTATTTTATATTTAAAGTTAACATTTCAGCGTATTTTTAAAATAAAAAATATTGTAAGATCATACGAATGATAATAAAATTTTAAAGTCCAAATGAGTTATGTGAAAAATTTTATATATACCGAATGGGTAAATAAATTAGATAAATTTACTCTTTCAAAAAAAAAGTGGTCGCACAACAAGAGGTTGAAAACGATTTACATGTATGATATAAAACTGCATTATAGCTTATTAGGAGTACTCATCTTAGCATACAAATTTATCAAATGTATAATTTTATGCGTTTACGTACACGGTTATATGAACGCACTTAGTGAATAATTTGTGTAAATTTATCAATCTGCTGTATAGTAGCACTATTTATATCAGCATTAATTAACATATGACAGCAAAAAATGCAATAGTCAGCAGCGTAATTTTTTAGCCAATATCGATGCAATTTTAAATATTTGTGCAAACTTTATTTTAATAGCTGAGCTATCAATAAATTATAAAATAAAATATCTAAATTAAGCGAAAAGTCCAAACTGAAAAGTATTTACAAATATATTTTTGTAAATGATTTGCTTGTGTTGGAATGCAACTCTGTATTGACAAGAAATAAATTTATACGATATAAATTTATTCAGTAAAATGTTCGTGTAAATTTATCAAGTTTGTGTAAACTATTTTGCATACAAAATTTGACACTTCATTTAGCAAGCAGATAAAGATATACGTTTATAAAGTTTATAAGGCTTTTATCAGTTTAGATGAGTACCCCTATTGTTTGAGATGTGTGTATATGGTTTATATAAAAATATATAAACAAATATATATATGTAGATAAAGTAGTGTAATAGGGGAGATAAGGCAGTGAAATAAAGGCAATTGAAAATGTAAGCAAGATAAGAAAAAGAGAAGTAAAAAATAGGAGTTTTTGAGAAGTTTCATAAAGTTGAACATAAATTCATAAAGACTAAATTTTATTTTTTGACTAAAGTAGTTTTTAATTTAATAAAAGTTTGAAGTTTAATAAAACATTGCATTATTTGCTTTTAAGAAACATTGCGTTTTTTTTTGTTTAAATAACTACACATATAATTACAAGAAACCCACTTTATCGCTTTAATGAAGCAGATAATATTATTAATGTTTATTCTAGTCAGACCGGAGAGACATTTCAAAAAGTGAAACCCTAAAATGGATGTGGGCTTTTCAGTGAGTGCCAATAAATACTAGTTGTTGGTGGTTTCCATACAGTGGCGGAGCTAGGCCCCCTTTATAACCCAGTAGTAGAAGTAAATAAGTTATATTCACTAATACGACAAAACATGATGGAAAGTTTTATTGCTAATCAAATTACAATAAACACAAATTAAAAAAAATGAATTTTCCTACTTTTAGTCTCATTCAATTTTTTTTTAAATTATATCATAATTTGCGCCAGCTGCTATTTTTGCTTCAGTTTATAGAATTTGCAATGGAGATAGTCTCTTTTGGATCATCATACTTTTCTAGTACGTCTTAATCAATTTTAAGTTTCAGAAGCTTCTTTCCGTCGAAGCTCTACTGACTGGAACTGTGAATATGAATCTGGTTACTATATAAAGATTCGGGAATATTTCAAATATGGTTAATGCCATTATTAAACCAAATTGTTTAAAATATTTATTAAGTGCTTAGAATCCACAGTCGGTAAATTTTTGGCGAGACCGTCGGCGGTCGCCAACATCGCTGACGCCTAGCGACACCACTGTTTCCATATAAGAATTTCCAATTTAAACGGCGATATTTGCAAAACTGAACTAGGTAGATATTCAATATCGTTTAGTTTTCGAGATATCAGACTTTAAAATTGAAAATTGTTA